GGTACTGATACTACTTTCATCTCTGGATTCTACTGCCGTTGTTGGTACTACTAGTACTGCTGCAGGTCTTCTACTGTGATTACTTGTAATGGAACTTCTTCTGGATCTTTCCACTAGTGGTGCTACTATTGTACTATTGCTAATGTTGTATTACTTTCACGCGTCTTATACTGCGTGTGCGTGTGTGTGCGTGTGTGTGTGCGTGTGTGTGTGCAGGTGGAAGGACAGCATGTACCATGCGTTGGGCTACAGCAGCATCCTGGTGATGCAGGCCACCATGACCTTTGAGCACAGAGACATTCAGGCCGCCATGTCGACCATCAAGGAGGCGCTGCAGACCTGTCAGAGGTGAGCGTCCTGTGGTCGCCCTGCAGCGCCCCCCTCAGGTCAACCACAACGGATAAGAATGCATGTGGTGAGGAAGCGTCTAAGCAAAGGGTTTCTGCAGGTTCAGGAAGAAGAACTCGGTGGTGGGATCTCTGTCCAGTCTGATCAGCAAGCAGTCCAAACTGCAAGAAGGTAGAGGAACACGCCCAGTTTGATTGACAGCTGGATGTCTGCAGGAAGTGTAAATGTGTGTGTTTGCAGAGGAGATGCACGCTGAGATCTGCTACGCCGAGTGTCTGCTGCAGAAAGCAACGCTGACCTTTGTGCAGGTCAGGACGGTTTTCCTGTTTACGTCATTATTGTATTATTATATTATGTTTCTGTTATTATTATTGTATTATATTCATTATGTGACAGAAAGCTTTCAGCCATTTAGGCGGATCAATAGTACATTTTACATAATGTGTCATCGGTCTCAACCAGTGAGAACACGCCTCAGGGCCGTGACACTGCGTTTACGTCACATGGGAACTACAGCCTCTCATATGACGAGTCAGCATGTAAAATGAGGCCATAACACATCATGACGCTAAACGTAATGAATCCTCTGTCTCTTCCAGGACGAAAACATGATCAGTTTCATCAAAGGAGGCATAAAGATCAGAACCAGTTACCAAATCTACTAGTGAGTCACTACTTCTGACCTTTAAAATACCATCAGGTTTTATTTATTACACTTTATTTCATCGGATTCTTTGATACGACACTTGACACGTTAATATAAAACATTTCTGTAACTGCTCCAGTGACTTCTGTTCATGTGTCCCTCAAAGGCAGATGCTAGGACATATACCCCTATGAGCACGCGGGCACGTGATCCCAGTGCAGTGCTGGTAACTCATGCAGCGCAGTGGAGCCCCTGCAGGGGGGTCTCTGCGTCTCACACCGCTGGAAGGTTTGTAGCACTGAGCACTTCTGCATTTCTGGTTCATAACTCATGT